TTGTTAAACATTATTTTAACAATATTACTATGTGGTACCCATTATTTAAATACTACTGTTTTAATAGTATCCGCATATGTTTAGTCTACGGAATTTCAGATGGAATTGATTCGATTATTCACGTTAAGAATGATAATTCTTGTATAGAAGAAAAAATACATTCATTTACATTTTTATTTTGATACAAGTGTATACTAACTTGTTTGGATTAAATTGTTATAATTTGCTGTAATCTGCTATAACGATTTATATTAGATTTGTTCAGATGATTCGATCAAAGCCACCGTGTGAATATAGATGCGAAATCTGAAGAATTTGTCATACAAGTTCGTTGGATTCGTTCTCAAGTCAAGTAAAACTTGGGTTAACTAAGAAGGTTACACTTGGATATGTCGATATCAGACATATATATTTACCGGTATGGTTACATGAATAAAGCACAACATTCATTTGTTACTGGTTTAATAATTTAATCAGAGACCAAAAATGTAAGGACACGAAGAAAAATAAAAGTTAGACGGTAGAAGAAAATTGATGCTTTGATCTTCATATCTTCCCTACATATAATCATTAATCTTAGTATTTACTATCTCTTTGTGTCTTCTTTATGAGTTTTTTTTAATTTGTTTGTAAAAGTGACGTGTGTAACCTTTCAAGGGCTAAAGGGAAAAAGCCGAAAGTGTTAGATCATGTGGATCCTAGCAGTGTCTCCCTTGTGGCTCGCAACACGAGTGCAAGTGTGTAAAATCAATTACAATTATACGCTTTTTAGAAGAAAAAAAAATGGTTACGTCTAACATAGTGATGAAGAAGAAAATAAAACCTTCATAATGGCGACTTCTTTTTATAAAAAGAATCGACAATGATGGTGATTCCCAAACCCAATACCCTAATAATGGTGATACCAAACACTAAAAAGAGCTACAAATACCTTAATAATGGTGAGTAATTCTTTTCAAATTCAAATGAACACAAATACAAATATTCGGTGGAAATTAGTTATTGTTCCTTAGAATCATTTTCAACAGATTCTGGTATATTAAAAACGGTG